CCCTTTGGCTTGAGCGGCTTGAAGTCTTGCGCGAAGGGCGCGCTGGAGGAGACATGCAAGAACTCCGGCACCACGGGCGGCCGAGAGGCTTTCTGTCGGGTAGAAGAGCGGGGCAAGGGCAGCTCGGGGGACGGGGAGGCACAGGGCGGGCAAAGCAGAGACGCGAAGCGCTGGCAGAAGGGCAGCGGATATTCGGCCTCGAGGCTTTTGTCCAAGGTCCAGGAACCGTCAGGCTTCCAACGCTTGAAAGCAGCATGAGAGTGATCGCCTGAACAAGGCAAGGAAAGGGAGGCCAACGCTGCCGAAGAACACAAGAGCAATGTGCTGGTGGGGCGGCGGCCACCGAACATGCACATGGAAAGGGGGACACGGTGCATGGCAGAAAAAGCAGCAGCGAGCTGAGGGTCACGCCGCTGACGCACATAGTAGGCAAGAACAGCCCACATCCAACTGTTTTCAGGATTCTCGATGCTGAAGAATGAGCTCTTGCGCAAGGCCAGGGTGAGGAGCTCCAAGGTGAAGAGTGCCAAGGCATTGGCAGCTGCAACCTGAGTCTGTTCAGCTTCGGAGAGGCCGGGGAGGCCCAACACATGAGCCGCATCACGCAATGGCCGAGGGGGTGGGGCTTTCGAACCACTCGGAGAGAGCGGCACCGGACGCTCCCGCGACCGGCTCCCAGTCCCGCAAGGCAACGCCACATGGATGGCCAAAAGGCTAGACTGGTCAAGGCGGGCCAAAAGCAGTTGCTGCGAGGCAGGTAGAGTCAAGTCGAGCGCCCACGTATCCACTAAGGGCTTGTGCCGATTGAACGGGGCATCCACAGTGATGGGCTGAACTCCTAGAGTCCTGAAGGATGAAGATAAGCGGCCGCAACCGCTAAAGACCTCGCAAAACACCGGCGGCACCTTCGGGGCCTCGGGAGGAAAAGGGGGCACTGGAAGGGCGGGGCTGACCTCAGGAGACGAGCCCGCCGCAAGCAAAGGCGGCTCGGGCAAGGTGGCGCAAGGCGGGTTTGCGGCAAGGCCCGGCGACGCGAGCGACGCACCTAAAATGTGCGCTGGAGGAGCATCCCGCGGAGGCAAGACGAACCCCAAGGAGACCAAAAAGGCACAGTCAGCTGGATCCAGACGGAAGGGCAAATCGGGGGTAAAGGCCACGAGCACTGTACGATCACCTGTCCAAGGCACGGTCTTGTGACTGGAACCCCAAGCATCGAACTCAACCGGGCCGGAGCTAACATCCAGGAGGATGCCGGCCGTAGGCTGGCCGTCAACGATTTGGCAATCGGGGCCACCGGCCGACTGGACCCAAATCTGTCCCCCTTGAAACGAAGAAAGGGGAAAAACACAGTTTCTGGAACCAGGTAAGTTGTTGCGATCACGATGAAGCTGAGAAGTCAAGTTATGCAAAATGACCAAAGCGGTGAATGAGAAACCAGGTTTGGCCTCCCTCACGAACTTGCACAAAAGCTTCGTCAAGCTAGGGAAAACACGGCAGTTGTGACGAATGCCGGGCACATGCGCATGCACGTAGGCCCCCGTGCTGAAGGATACACTCCCAGCCTGAGGCTCTGACGTAGGGCGCAAGGGATCTGAGGGCAGCTGAGGAATCAAAGGCAACAGCTGATCTCTGGAAAAAGAGTTGGACTGGAGTAGCTGCTCCGCTACCCGCTCCAAGCATGCAAACGGGCCAGACTTGGGCGGCACTGCAACCTCGCCCGTGCTGACGGCCTCGGGAGCAGAGGCCCGCGGCGCGCTTTCAACCGGCAAGGGCATCACTCGGCGCCGCTTGCCCGTCGGCATTCAGGCACCGCCCAGAGAGCACTGTGTAAACGGGTGCTCTTTGAAGCACCGCCAGCAAATATGAAGACCCCGCCTGCACCTCTTACCTGCTTTTGC